TAGTGCTCTAGTACCTTTGGGAGATGGATAAGAAAAGGACGAGGGAAGGATAGAGATGTAGTATAGGGGCAGAGTGTAGAGAGGGTGAAAGAAAAACAGAGAGAAAAGCTCAAAGTCCAATGAAGTAGGAAGAGTAAGACAGAGAAGATGGAAAAGAGAAGAGATAGAGACTCAAGAAAACCCCAAAATCCCAACAGAGTTAATGGCTTTTGTCAGACTAAAACCAAGTCAGGTATCCATAAGTGTAAAGAGCAGTAATATAAAGTTTAATGATCTGAGGTAGGAAAACAAAAATTAGTAGATAAACCCTTACTTCTCACATTTTGACGCCATGTTTTAGTCACTGGGAGGACACTGTCCTATTTGGACCAGTATGTGAATGAACTGTACCTTGAAATAGGCTCTGCTGCTCCTCAGATTCAATGCACTCTTTTTTTCCCCTGAAAAATTTTGTACTTTTTGCAGATATCTGACAGTTGTGATGATAGTAATGGTGTTTCCTGGTTCCTTACCTTTTTTTTTTTTTTAAATGAACTTGGTAATAGCGTTTATACAATGGGTGGTTGTCCTTACCAAATTCAGCCATTTCGGGTTATAAAATATTTTTTAAATTTTGTTTCCATCACTGTTATCTTTTTGTGGTTTATATACTTTTGCTTTAATATGTAGTGTTTTGTAAAATGCTGTAGCTTCTTTGCATTTATGGTTCCCTTGTCCTGAAGTAGCTATTGGTTTCATATATCATATTGCCCTGCAAAAGAACTAGCAAATTACGTTTGAATGTGTCTAATGGCAGTGTAAGAATTACGCTGTTTCGGTTATGGAAAGTGCTAGAGGGAAAATTCTAAAAGGATCAACCTAAATTTATTTCTGTCTTTCTACTAATCCAAGAGTATGCCCTTCCTTTTCTCTGGGGGAGAATTAAAATATCTTCCCGATTAAAAAAATCTCATTGCTTAAAGACCACAGAATAAAGCAATACAACAAGTTTCAGCTAATTATATGTCAGAAAATAGAACAAATATTCATTATTAAGTAATAGAGTATCATTGAGGTATGTGTGTGGGTGGCGGGTTGCTGTGTTTATAAGAGCACACATTTATCAACCATCTTAATGTGGTGTTACACTGAAAGTCCGGGGGTAAGGTTTTGTTTTGTTTCAGAGACAACTTGTTGCTCAGTCTCTTCACAGATAATGGGGTTGGGAAATCTCCATTTTAAAAAAATGCTGAGTCAGAAACCTTTTGCTCTACATTTCAATAAGAGCAGCTGCTTGAGAGCCAATTAATGAGAGCTGTTAAAGTAAAACTTATTTCAACTTATTAAATTCAGATGAAAGTGGAAGGGAGGGGAGGATCCACAAGGGAGGAAGGGGAGATTGGTCGACATATAAGGGGAGAGTGAAGGGGAATCTGAGGGAACCCCCCCAAAGGCCCAAGATAAGGTATGGTGAACCACAGAAATCCCTGAAGGGAAGAAAGGAGAGAGAGAGAGAGAGAGAGACAAAGAGAGAATAATAAATAGAAATAAATATTTCAAATACCATTTAATTTTATGGTGATTGTTAATTTGGTTAGTAAAAGAAACTTAAAAATAAAACCTTCCTATTTAAATATTTGAATTCCTCCATTAGATAGAGAGAGGGGGAGAAAAACTATATATGTCCGTGTCAGATAGACAGAGAGACATCTTCATCCCTGAAAATAAAATAAAATCTGAGTCCTAGAATGTAAGTATCTTGCAGTCTCTAATTTGTATTATCAAGCAATTGAATGTTTCTTGAAGTCTCACTTTACAGTAAACATTGTTTAAGAAAAACATATGGGAATTGTAAAACAGTGAAAAGGAAATTACCGTCTTTAAAAGGGCAATATTTTGTGTTTAAACTGTTCATATTAAATCCTGCAAAATTTTCTTCTAACTCTAAAGTGGTAGTAGAAATGTAGTGTTTTAGTGATTAGAGTGATAAATTCATTTGCAATGAATGTCAAAATGACAATACATCTTTCTTAAATACTCTTTCTTGGCTGTAACCATATTCCCCTCAATAGCAATTTTGAAGTGCATATGATCATATATCCTGTTTATTTAAAACATAGTACTTTAATTAATTTATACAATAAAATTGAGTGGGGGGGTTTGTTCATGCAGAAGTTATATAATTTATATAACATAAAAAGCACCATCATTTATTGATTTAGATTTCATTTATTTTCTGTGAAGAAATACTTAATTGATAATTCATGCTTCAGCTAAAATGACCACAGAATGAATACTAAAACATTATGTGAAATTTGAGAGAAACACCCGACAAAGCCTTCAAACCCGACAAACACCCGACAAAAATTTAAACAGTTTTTTTCCAAATGTTATCTAAGTACAATGCAAGTTCTTAAAAAGAAAAAGAAAAAAAAAAAAAAAAAAGCTTAACCTGTTCCCATTTTCTTTCCCCTAAATCTTCTCTATGTCAAAAAAGTACTCTTAAGCTATTTTATGCTGGGGACAGGTAATGATACAGTCATGGACATTGATTCAGACATGACGCAAGTTGGAAGTGAGAAACTGTTACCATCTGAAGACTTGCTTGTTTGTGTTCTGTAAACTAAGCTGTGGGGCTTAGTCTGTTTGTTTCCTTCTTAGTGAACTAGTGTCCACATTACAGAGTCCATCACAAATGACACCTTTTATTGTACATTTCAACAGGAAGGCCATGAAGTGATTATGTATCGAAACCTCTCGATCTAATACCACTCGAAGTTCTCTCCAGAGTAGCACTGAGGTAGTGTGCATAAGATTTTGCTGCCTTGACAGTATTCTGCAGCTTTTCTGTGAACATTCAGTGCTGTCTCACTCTTTTGGGCAGTCAATCCCAGCATCTTTCACAAAAACTGAACTAATTTAACCTTTTATACGAATTTTTTTCTTAGTAATTTGAAAAGTTTATTTTATATGTAGGTAATTTCAAAGGAGAATAACTTTGGTGTTATTGAATTTTAATAATGATGGAGAAATTTGATCTTGGGTTTTAACTGCTTTCGAATGGAAATATTAAAAATAAGGACGAAAATATGATCTCCTGGGAGGTATTTCTGTATTTTTCTTTGTTTGCTAATGGGTCCTTTACAAAAGAATCGGGTGACGAATTCATTCTCTATTCACTAAAGGCTAGATTATGTCACCCTTACTCATGTGGTAAGTGTTACAACCTGGCTACCTTCCCCTCTCTACAATCTCCAATCTCTTGTGAATGGACCTAATTGCTGGGTCCCACATCCTTCTAAACTGTCTGGGTAGAATCTAGTAATTGTTTCTAGCTCTGGGTCTATAGGATATATTCCCAGAGCTCAGACCTTCTGGGGCTCTGTATCTGCAGCCGCCCTAGATCCCAAGATTAGTTTCTGAGCCTTTCAAGCCTTCACAGTCGCTTACACACACTTCCCTAGAATTCCACCTAGGTTGTGGGCATTCTGGACTTCTAGTTTAACCCTTTTTGGGACATGTCAGGAAGGCAAGGGAACACGTGCATAGCAAAGGACTTTATTTCTTAGCTGCAGAAATTTTACTTTAAGATTACTTTAAAATTGCACATCTTTGAAAACAACAAAAATCCCTAAGAATGCACCCTTCCCATGTCTGATCTTGCCCCTTCTGTGAGTTTGATGTTTGTCAGCATTTCAGGCTGATAGTCCCTCCTGCCCACCCTCTGTCTCCAGCAAGATCTCTTTACATGTGGGGATAGTTGGCATCCTGCACAGAGCAGTGCCCCCTCTTAAGTGGAGGTGCTCGCTCCTTGCCATATGCTCCACTGGGTTGATCCAGGCCCCTTCCCCAGTCCTGCATGTCCTTCCTGTAGCTCTGTGTGTAGAAAAATCATTGTTCCATGCTCATGGGCCAGTAGTTGAGACTTTCAGACTTAATAGGTCTAGATGGGTCTCCATGATGGTCTTTCAACAAGGTGTCAAACACCTTTCCTGAGCAGGGCTTTCCTTGGCAAGTTTAGACATATGTTCCACACACAAAACAAAACGGAGTTCCTAATTTAAAACGAACAGTCCACCTTGTAATAGCAAGCACTTGCATGATTTAATTGGGACTGCTCGTGTAAGTGCTCACCAGCATGGAGTTGCACAGTTTTGCCTTAACAAATAGGTCTGACCTGATTATTGAAAACTAGACTTTATTGTAAAACCAACAACAACCTATTCTAGCACATACTAAATAAATAAATACATAAATTACAAAGATAAATTTTTAAAAAGCTCAAGTCATACTCCAGTTGCAACCTATAAAAAATAATTCTTGTGTCTTACCTCAGAATTCCTGATTAAATTCACAAGTACAATGGGGCGAGGCCTCAGTGTTCAATTGCAATACAAATACTAAATAACTACCGGCTCTTCACCTGGCTGATGACGATGCTATCAAATGGCTGGTCACACTGGACATACGCTGAGAGACTGCTGGAAAAACTTGGTTCCCAATGCTGCTACTTGTTTACAGGCTTTTGTGGGGGGTAATTCAAAATCAGTGAACCTAGAGCTCAGTCAATGCAAGTGCTTTTGAAAATTCCACCCATAATGTCTCATAAATTCCTAACCCCTTTCTCAGTGAGTAAGGAAATATTTCATTTCAAAGCTTAACACCATTTCAAGGAAGTTTGAGAGTGAGAAAGATAATTCAGCCAAGAAAGAGGTTTTTTTAAAAGTAAAGATGAAATTGTCTTGATAGTACTATTGATATTCCTTTTGTCTGTATTTTCAGAAATCTGTACTGAGCTTTCATATATACATATGCCTCTATTTTTAAAAAAGCATAGTTAAAAAAAGTGTTCAGTTACTTTGATTCTGAGAATAGATGTATCACTTCAATTGTCTAATGAAAACAGACAATTGAAGAGAAGCGTGAAAGTGTTTGTCAGAGTCTATCATGGATTTCATGAAAAGACAAAACAGAAAATGGGTTACAGTATGCTAACTTCTTTTCCTTTATATTTTTTAAAGTTCTTTGATGTAATATCAACCAGCGAGAAACCATTGGCAGAGCAAGATTGGTATCATGGTGCAATTCCAAGAATAGAAGCCCAGGAGCTGTTAAAGCAGCAAGGAGACTTCTTGGTGCGAGAGAGCCACGGGAAACCTGGTGAATATGTCCTTTCTGTGTTTTCAGATGGACAACGGAGACACTTTATCATACAATATGCTGATGTACGTCTCTGATGTAGTACTGAATGTTTATTTCATGTCAGGCAGCTTGTATTTAACTGAAGAATTATTTTAGATAAGTAGTTCAGAATAAAAGGCATTCATTATTATGGATAAAACTATGAGAATTACTATGAAGTAGGTTTTTAGTCTTCTCATATGGAAAGGCCAGTATGAAATCTGTTAAAAAAAAAATGGTAATCTCTGATTTCCCGTGTTGAGTTAGATGCTGAAATTTTAAAAAACAATGTTAGTCAAATATTTTTAAGAATAAAAGAAAGATATGAGGTTATTCCATGGTTTTTATTCTTTGTTAGAAAGCAGAAAATTACTTCTATAAATGTTTAAATTTCTGAAGTTACTAATTATTTAAATGTATTATATATGTACAATTTATCTTTTTTTATTCTCCCACTCCTTTTTTTAGAGTTGGTGCTTGATAGTGCTATGATAGCTCAGGTTCCAAAGCAATATCAATGTAACCCCCTCTTTTCACATGGTCATAATTTTCTGAAACATTCACTCTTGGGGCTGAAATTTTACGTAGTTGATCTCTGCTCTAAGACGAATTTTTTGTACAGTTTATTTTTCCCTTTTCAAACTCAGAAATAGCTAAGGCAATTTCCATAAACAAAAACAGCCTAACAAACCATAAGAGAAGGTTAAATAAACTCCAGGCCCACAGTAGCCTCCCCGTGGATGGGAAAGTTTACATAGCAAAAGATTTGTTCGGTCTCCTATGTGTTGCTGTGAATTGAGATCCGTGCTGCCTAGGAGCCGCACACACCCTACATAGACACAGGAATCCTGTTCTCTTTAGCTGAGCAGAACCACAAAAGTTCTGTAGGAGGGAGCTGTTGGGGAGGAAAGGACAAGATTTCTTCCATTATTCTTATATGAATATTATTTATGGAAAAAATGGCGAATTTGAGCAGTTTGTCATAAAAATCAGTTTAGCTAATGCATTTCTTTTCTTTCTTTAGAATTTTTTTTTACCTGTTGCACTCCCCAATTTGTTAAGTTATGTCTATTTTAATGGGCTCAATAATTTCATTAGACCCATCTAAAGGTAGGAGAGGTTGTGGAAGATCACTTATTGGGAAGGTGTCATTTTGGTTATTAATATATCTATACAAGGATTTTTTCAGTAGGAGGAAATCTGGTCACAAACATTAATTCTACTTTACCATAATTTGATATAGCCAGTGATATTCTGGAGTGTGTTTTCAAGTCCTAAATAAGAAAATAAATGCTTTAAAACTGAGCATACCTCTATATAAAGAAGGTGTGCTTAATCCCAAAGGTGCTGAGCACCCTGGCCCTGACCCATCAGTATTAAGCATGTGCTAAACCCTTTGCTCTAGGGTTGCTTTATAGTTTCTTGAGATCTCAGATGATACTCCACTAGGACTTAAAAATGATGTAATTTAGGGATTGTCTACACTCAAAACACTGCAGTAAAGACACTATCTCCTATTGACCTAATTTACCTCCCTGAGAGGTCGTAGCTAGGTTGACAGGAGACTTCTCTCTTTGACCTAGCACTGTCTACACCGGGGGTTAGGTCGGATTAACTGTGTTGCTCAGGGATTAGGGTTGATAACCCTCCAGGATTGCATTGAAGTCTCCAGGAATTAAAGATTAATCTTTAATTAAAGATTATATAATTGATGAAAGTTCCAGGAATATGTCCAACCAAAATTGGCAACGGTATCAGGGATGTGGATTTTTCACACACATGAGCAGCGTAGTTATACTGACCTAATTTCACAGTGTAGACTAGGCCTTAAAGAATCTGAGGGTATGTCTACGCTACCTGCTGGATCGGCGGGTAGTTTAGACACAATAAATCAACCCCTGAGCATTCTCCCGTCGACTCCTGTACTCACCACCACGAGAGGCTCAGGCAGAGACGACGGGGGAGCAGCAGCAGACTCACCATAGTGAAGACACCACGGTGAGTAGGTCTAAGTACGTTGACTTCAGCTACGTTATTCATGTAGCTGAAGATGCGTAACTTAGATCGATCTCTGCCCCCCCTTACTGTAGACCAGGGCTGAACAGGACTCTGGAACCAGTAGACTGAGAGAGAGAGAAATATGAATTTGTATTCTTGTGTGCACATGCAGTTTATAAGTTATGTGTAATAAATATTGCTCTGATCATAGTAAATAGCTTGAAATTAGCATGTATCCACCAGTCAAAAATCATCTGACCCCTTATACATAAATAATACTATTACCTAGATCTTGTAGTGTTTTTCACCAGTAGATCTTAAAGCACTTTACAAAGGAGGTAAGTAAATAGAGCTTTCCCAAGAAGTACAGAAAAGAAACTTGATTTTGCACCACAGGGGAGGAACTAGGTGCAGATAGTTAGCACTAGGGAGGGCTGCACAACATGCACTATAGGATTCAAGCTTTCCCCTAGAGTTCAATGATAGTTTGAAATATATTAAGCTGCGTAACACACACTTTCAAATGTGCACCTTACAGCAATGAGAGTGTGGGCTGGTCAGCTGTTGAAATAATCAAGGAATGTAGAAAGTTAATGTAGCAGGCAATTTTTGGGCAAATAAGGTATTTTGTATTGAGTGACTATTCCTCAGTGTTCATTGCACAGTGCCAAACTTTCCATGTTCCAGGACTTCTGTTTTTGTCTTTTCTTATAGCATGTTACGTTCATAAGCCTGGAATTAGATGATACCGCCTGAGATTAATTTGGGCCTTTGGGAATAGGACAGAAATCTTTTTTTGTTTTGTTTTGTTCTGAAATCCCAGCTGTAGCTTCAGCTAAACAATTAACTGACCCTATATAAACAGAGACTGTGGCAACAATGACTCAGAAACCTTCATATGATCCACAGAAAGTCAGTGGACCTCATCTAATTCTTCATTTTGGGATAATGCCGTAATAAAAGAGGTCAGCCATATACTTGCACTAAATAATTTTCATAGTCCCTTGCAGATCTTTCCAGTTTAACACTATTTTGCTTCAGAAATAATTCGTACAGCAAAGTGAAAGTTAATACAGTGACAATCACTTATATGTACTCTGAAAAGTATTTGAAAATAAATATTTTTAACTGGTATTTTTGAGCCTTCTTGCAGTAACCGCAAATATTATAGCTGCAATATGAAACCTTTACATAAGACGCTATAAGCCAGATGCTGTCTTGCATTAAAATAAGTTCTATATCAAAATAACTTATTTTTAGTATTCATAATACAGTTATTTCAGCTAGATGGCTAGTAGTTTATCATGATTTCTGTTAGACTCTGGGGTGAAACCTTGGCCCCTTTGACTTCAGCAGGGTTAGGATTTCATCCCAGGGCTACAACCAAGTGGTGTTTGAGATGCTAAATTTTTAGTTAAAATCTTTTAGTTTTAAATGTTTCACAGCCAGTCTCTGTGGGCTTGGGGAAAGTCATGAGATGTTTTCTCAAACTGTAATCTCTAAATTTAGACCAAGGATGAGTTGACCTTTTTCTCATGTCAGTAAATTTGTATCTACTAGTGTTGGCCTTTATGTGGAACATACACTAAATTGTAACCAGTGAATTTATTGTACAAATTTAGGTAAATGTCACGTTATAGAATATGATAGATTGGAAAAGAAAAATGTCGTCTTTTAACCAAAAGTTAAAACAATTACTCTCATAACTTTGTTCTGTACTGGAGTTAAGCTGATAATTGTTGTCAAGATGGAGATTTGGTTTCAAGGCTCTCACTCCCAAGGCTGTGACCAAACATTGGCTTGTTTATGGATTGGGTTGACTCTGTTTCAGGATCTCCTGGTTTTTGTTTCATTGACAATTTTGGCTTAGTGTTGGTCTCAGAAGAAGCTAGCCACACTCTTCTATTGGAAGACAGAGTGCTACTAAGTCCTCCATCTAATAAGGCATGGGTATTAAAGAGAATAGAAAAGTATAATGGCTACTGGGAAAATCCAGAGAAGTTTTTATTGACCGAGTTTTGCATCAGAGCTGGACTTGGTAAAAGATAGTTCCATAAAAAACCATCCAAAAATATGCTGTTGAAAGTCTTGCAATGATATATAGCAGGGTAGTTATATTTTAGCTGCCAACTCCACCAGATTCCTTTACAAAGAATTATTTAACTGTTGGATGCACTCACATAAAATTTCCTGGCTTTTACCAGTTTTATAGATGTAGAGAATACTGCACAGCATCTCTCACTTTCATGTTCTCTCCCCACTACCCCAAACTTAAATACTTAATACCACACAAGTATAGAGATACATTGCCTGAAGAAATTTCAGAAACTTACAAAACAGTGGAAGCAACACAAATGAGAAAAATATTTTGCCTTGCATCAATATCACAATCCTGTCATTTTCACTTTTTCAGTGTCTCTTTTTCTAGGACTCGTGTATTGTTCCAGTGCCAGTTTTCTTGATGTTTCCTATCAGAAAAGGGCATGTGATCACTTGTTACATATATATTCATATGTCTGGTTTCACAAATAGGATACAAATGAGCATGACACAAACTGTTTTTTTTATTTTGCTTCTCTTTGGTAACATACATTTCAAATGATAGATTAAAAAAAATAAGCACAAGACATTTTCAAAACTACATGGATTTTCCTAGTTTTGTGTGCACAATCCCCAGAGATCTAAGTTATTTCCTATTTATTTATTCGTGGATAAGACTATCTCCTTGCATTTTCACTCCAGTTTCACCTGCCATCCCTTACTGGAATAGTTGTTTCTGTGTGGTATTGTTTCTCAGTGGAAGGGCCTGGGGTATGTCTCTTCAGGGACAGCTGTCAGATTTGATTCTTAGACTCCCCAGTTGCGACTACACATGAATAAAAGCATGAGGCTGAAACCTCCATCCCATTGTGTAACCAACATCACGATTGTCTCATATCATTGACAAGCCTGGTCTCCATTGATGTGAATTTTCCTCTGATTCCAAGCCTCTAGAATAGTAGTGCAGTGTACAGCTGTTGTGACAGTGGTCCAGCTGTTTAAATAGCCTGTTTGATTTGACCAATGTTTTGAAATGTTGAACTAGTCAGATGCAGCAGTTGACTAATCAATTTTGTCAGGCAATCTGTGAAAAACAAATAAGAATTGCTCATTTGTTTTTAACTAAAACTGAACATTTAAGAAAAATGTGTGTACATTTTTTATAAATTTAAATATTTCCTGAAGAAAACAATGTTGAATATATAGGGTCCAAAATATATATATTTTTTAAAGTATGGAAAACAGAGAATGTATTGCAGTTAATTACAGAGGCCATTTATCCTCCTCAGTGGATGATATGCTCTTAGAATAACCTGTTAATATAGGAGCACCTCTTTTGGCTAATGGGTGCAAACTTCTTATAAAAATTAATATTTTATACCGAAAACTTTCAGACTTTGGTGTCTGAGTTTAAATTCTTAAATCCATTTAAGCAATTAAGTTATTGTAAGCACTTTGGGGCAGGGCCAGTTTTTGTTACATATTTTTACAGTGCAGTTTTTGTTACATGTTTTCACAGTGGTCCATGAATGGGTCTCCTAGGAGCTACTGCAATACGAATAGTAAATAATAATAATAGAAAAACGGTTCCAATGCTCAAAAGTGCTGATGACTAAATTTCTGATAAAGAAATTGATGGATCTGGGAATATACCTCCTAGTTGTAATTAATGTTGCCTGTTCCATGATACTTGCATAAAGGAAGTTCAAGTTTCTTTCCATTAAGTCTTGGTGAAAAATTCCTTCCTGAGTCCAAATTTGGTCATCAGTTTAACCCTGTGAATATGAATAAGAATTACTATTATTAAGCATCTAAATCCATTGCTGTCATTCAGTGTTAATCAGTTTTCAAATTATTCTCAATTATTTGTATTACTGTAGCGCTTAGGAGCCCTAGTAATGGACCAGGACCCCAATGTGGCAGGCACTGTACCAACAGAATTAAAAATGGTTCCTGCCCCAAAGAGCTTACAACCTCCGTATAAGATAGGAAAAAACACACAGTTACGAATAGAAAGATTGGCAGGAGTAACAAAGAAACAATACAACAATATTGGTCAGCATACGAGGCAGTGATTTCTGCATACCAGCAGCCTAACTGTTTATCCGTAAGCATCACATGAAGTGAGTTTTCAGGAGGGATTTGAAGGAAAATAGTGGCTGTTTAGCACTTACCAAGTGTGAGGGCGGCATAGGAAAAAGCATGAAGGTGCTTGCTTGAAAATTTAGAAATGGGCAACAGAGGTGGACATCATGGGATGACCAGCATCAACATTTTGACAGTGAATGAGAGATGATACATAGGGGGTGGGTACACCATGAAGGGCCTTGAAAATAAAGACAAGCAGCTTATGTTTGATGAGCGGCAGGGAGCAGTGGACAGATACAAAGAGAGTGTTCATATGTTCAAACTGGCCTGTTATCTTTCCTTGCCTAAAAAATAACAACTTGGCAGCCAGTTATTGTAGTTCCCAAAAAGTCATTTTCCATAAGAGCCCTAGTATACTGAGTGCACTTGCAAAATATTGTAAATTAAAAACAATTCTTTAGCAGTATTATTTAATTTTCTTTGCCCTGAACCTGAATCTCAATTTAGATCACTTTTACTATTCCAGTCCTTGGCTTTACTTGTACTAAATGTTTATGGCCACATTGTTTATGGCAATGTTTGTGCTGTAGAAAGAGCTGAGTAGGGAATAAATGAAGGTAAACATGCATTTATATGGGCACAAATAGCCTAACCCATATACTAGTCACTGAAATCCTGTACAGAATTCAGGACTGTAAGAGGCTGAACTGAGCAGTACAGGTTTTTTCCCAAAGAATTTTCTAAATCTTTTGTCACTGCCCTTCCAGCCACTAGTGTACCTATGTCACTTGCATTCTTTCTCCGCACCTACAGATACAATGCTTCCTGACGTTCTGTGATAGGAAGTACAGCTTGTAAAAGAGTCTACACAGTTCCTGCATGATGGCAAGAGAGTTACAGTAGCCACAGCAGGGACTTTTTTAATATTTAAAATGAAAAAGAGACAGATAAGAAAAAAAGAGAGGGATGGAAGTGCAGGGAGGCAAAAATGCCTTTCATCTCACTCAGCATTTCTGAAGTGTGGAGATGGCTGGGTTTTTATCCTAAGTACTATTGAAGATTGCTGGTCACACATTATTATTTATTTATTTATTTATTTATTTAAGACCCACCAAAATTTTTATTCTGTGTGTGCCAGTGAATCATTCATCACTTTTATCACACATTGCCTGGGACTACATTACATGGTGAATTAAGATTTGGCCCCTGTTCCTCAAGCTTTGTTTCTGCGCTAGAGAGCTGAAATTTACCCTGTGTTTACTAGATTTTCAAAGATATTTTTTTGCAGTACATCCTTATTTTACATGTTTCGGTGTTGTCTTAAAATAAATGGTTTTTGTTCTTTAAGTTGGTAATATTTTATTGCATATCCTTTTCATATTTAATATGTCTCAAAGTCACTGTTACTGTGCCATCTGTTGAATCACAAGGACTTCCTTCTTTCTAGTTTTGATTTAAGAATTGAGATCTGTTTATTTTATTATGATACACTAATTGAATGAATAGATATTTTTTCTAGTTATTATGACCCACATCATGGTCCCATTGAAGTCGCTGGAAGTTTTTGGATTGATTTGGATGAGACCAAGATTTAATCCTATGAAATTAAACTTTTCTGTTTCTAGTTATTCGTGGATAATTGTTGCTAATTGCGTCTTTTGCATTTCCTCATTGGAGCTGTTCTGAAACTGAATTTTTTTTCCCCCTTACAGAATCAGTACCGATTTGAAGGAACTGGGTTTCCAACTATTCCTCAGCTTATAGACCATCATTACACAACAAAACAAGTAATTACTAAGAAATCAGGTGTAGTTCTGCTGAATCCTGTTGTTAAGGTATGCATATATCCTATGTATTTTGTTAAGTAGAAGATTTTGCTGCATTTCATTTAACCTTTTAAACCATGATTTTTGCAATTACGAATGAAATGTTAAGCAGTTTGTAGGTTAATCAGAACTATCTCATTCAGTTAGTGCTTCAAGATAGCAGACTCCTCTGTTCCTCTTAAGTGATTACTCCAGCTTCCGAAACACTTAACTATTAACTCATTATTGCTCATTACTCTGCAGCTTCCTGAGCTGTTTACAGTCTTTTTGTTTGAGCGCTGAAAATTCATCCCAATTAACACACTCTCCTCACTCTCAAGGGTCTGCATCACAAGTACCCACATACCATCCTTCTGGAAGGATGTCATTCTGAGTCTGACAAAGCTTTCTTATACTTCATTCTTCTCTTCCCTCTTTTTTTTTGGACCATCCAGGTAGAATCTGTTTCTGGCTCAGTAACCCATAGAGCAGGGATTGGCAACCTTTGGCACGCGGCCCGCTAGGGTAAGCCCCCTGGCTGGCCAGCCAGTTTGTTTACCTGCTGCGTCCGCAGGTTCGGCCGATAGGGCTCCCATTGGCCGTGGTTCACTGCTACAGGCCAATGGGCGCTGTGGGAAGCGGCGGCCAGCACATCCCTTGGCCCACGCTGCTTCCCGCAGCACCCATTGGCCTGGAGCAGCGAACCATAGCCAGTGGGAGCCGTGATCGGCAGAACCTGCAGACGCTGCGGGTAAACAAACTGGCCGGCCAGCCAGGGGGCTTACCCTAGCGGGCCGCGTGCCAAAGGTTGCCGATCCCTGCCATAGACCATGACATTGGTTTCCTTCTCCATGAAGCTGTGTTGCATATAAAAGTGTTCGGAAGGAAAAGAGCGTTCTTTTAAACAATAGTATCTTTACAAAGTTTGGGAGAACTGTTGGAAGAAGAACAGGCTGACCCAGAGGGGGATTTGAGTAGATGGGCTTCTTTATTTCGGTACTTGTTCCCCTGGACCCAATTGTCCAGTAAGTACTAGATTAGTTACATCATTCTCTTTATCTACATTAGTATGTAAATTTCTACATTTATTACAACATCCCCAAAACCCTTATGGAGTAATATGAACGCTCATACATCTGGCGTCACGAACAGGATCCCAGGGGAGAATTGTGCCTGATCACCACGTCTCACCATGGATTCGATGAGTAAGTTTAATGGGACCTTTACTGCAGCCCTGGTTAAGGAATTTATTAATAAATTGGTAGGGAAATGGGGGGGTCCTTATGCGGCCCATCAGGATTGGCTAGCCATCCAGGGGTGGGTGGAAGCTGCCCTAGCGTCCAAATGCTCCCAGGATAAGAAAAAGGTTGTTTTGTTGCAGGCTGTGTGTGAGGGTCTGTCAGGTTTATGGGAGGAGGTTAAGGATCTTAAAAGCAAAGTGACAGGTTTCAGAGTAACAGCCGTGTTACTGTCTGTATTCGCAAAAAGAAAAGGAGTACTTGTGGCACCTTAGAGACTAACCAATTTATTTGAGCATGAGCTTTCGTGAGCTACAGCTCACTTCATCGGATGCATACCATGGATACTGCAAAGTGGAAACTCTACAGCAGCGCATGGTAAATCATCACAGTGTGCTAGCAGTCAGAATGGCTGAGAATTGCATGGATGATCTTAATCATCTTAAGTCTGAGAACCTGGCCCTGAAGGGACAAGTAGATGCCTTAAAGCAGAATTCTTTTCCCCCGGCCCCTATTTACCCCCCACCACCCTTTCTGCCCCTCCTGCACCCTCCGCCCCTCCTGCCTATGAAGATCCCAATTCCTCAATAAATTCCATCTACCCTGTCATGACACAAACTATGGATCAGGATGGCAAAGGAGGACCAGGCTGCAAAAGATGAAGTGACAGAACTCCTGCGCCGGTCCGGTATTCAAGTACCACCCCAGGCTCTAAATGCGGGGGACGGTGGGCCCACTGTCCGGCAAGAGGTTACCATCACCTCCATGTCCGAAGGAGACAGGGAGAGCCTATACCGAGAATTGGGCCCCCCGCCCCAAGAATGGAATGCTTTCCTGCAATGGCTAGAGCGAATAGAAAGCCAGCTGTACCAGTATTCTGGTAGTGATTTGATTTTAGCCTGGGAGATGCTGTTGGGCCCCTTGGCAGCGGCTGTGGGCCTCCAGGGTAAGGATTGTTGAATGATTGTCCTGGACACAGCCCGTATTCTTTTCGGGGTGTATTCCCTAACAGCGGGCTTGGTTAAGTTAAACCCTATACCGGGGAACACCTGCACGCTGCCATCTCCCGCATCCAGGTCTGGGTTCGGGTATTTGGGGACCTTGAAGACAAATGGTTATTACCCCTTGGGGCTGGTCGGGGAGCAGCCCTTCTCGATGCTTGGCTGCAGTGCCTTAGCCCCCAACTCCACAATTGGCTGGAGTTGCAGGCAGGACCCTTCCAGGCAGCCATCCTGCCTGCATTAGTGGAAAGGGCCTCTCCGTACGCATGGCAGAATATGGCCTGAGAAACCCTTACATCTCAAAATGGACCCACGGGTAAGGATACCTCTGCCCAGATCCGGCCCTTGGAGGGGGGCCTTGATGCCCTCCTCAGGGAGCGTGGGCCAAAGGTCCCAGCCCGGTTGCCCAACTTCCTCAGGCTCTAAGCCCAGCCCTGTAGCAAGGAAAGGAGACTGGCCCTGCTCCGGTTGCCAAGCCAATAATTTCGCCCAGAGGGAGCCATGCTTTAAATGCAGGCATGCCTGGGCTGTGCGGTGGTGGCCATTGACGAGGGGAGCCCTCAGGCCAGTCCTCAGAGCTGGTCTCTCTCCGTGGACCAGTTCAGCTGCCCGGTAATCCAGGGGCAGCTGAATGGTGGGCCTGAAGGGACCTACCTTTTTGATTCCGGATCAAGCTTAAATCTGGCACATGGTCCTGCCCAGGAACGGGGCCAGGAAATATTGTTTGGAGACGCCATGAGAGGCCAAAATTGGGGAATTGAACAGGACGGGATACTCTGGCTGTCCGAGGCAGAGCCTTTTGATTCCGCTCCCTGGGTGGTTGGCCCCAATGTCCATCTCAATATCATAGGGGTACCCAGTTTTAAAGCATGTGGTCATTGATCTGTGTAACCGCCAACTGTGGTCCATTCCTAACGGGAATGGTCAGGTGATCCCCCTCGGGTTGGTAAGCAGTGTAGCAAAAGGGCCAGAACCGGGAATCATTCACTTGAGTTGGGAGGACCTGCCGGGATGGGAAATGGACAGTCTGGATGCTGGGCAGCTCCAAACTTTAGTGAGTATAGACGGGGGAGCTCCTCCAGCAGTAAAGCAGTACCCCATTCCTCAAGCGGCTATTCAGGATCTCTCCATTACAACGGAGCATTTAAAGCTAATGCCCCCTTATGGCCTGTACGTAAACCAGATGAGTCCTGGAGGCTAACCACTGATTACTGGGAAGTAAACCGAGTCACCCCGCTCCTCGCACCACTAGTGGCATGCCTGCCCGAAATGATTGCCCGAATTCAATCAGGGGATCAGTGGTTTTCTGTGCTAGATGTGTCCAATGGATTCTGGTCCATTCCTCTGGCCCAGGACAGCCGCGGAAGACTGCCTTCACTTGGCAAGGGTCTCAATTCCAATGGCGGGTTCTGCCCCAAGGGTACAGTAATGCCCCCACCCTGTTTCACCAGGAGCTCAAGTGGGTTCTGGATGCATTGGGGCCCATAAGCCAGCGATGTATTCAGTATGTGGATGACATTCTCATTTGGGGATGGGAAAGGAGGAGGTGGCTGCGGCTATCTGAGAAGTAGTTAGGGGTCTTGGGGAAGCAGTACTAAAGGTGAATGGAAGAAAAGTTCAGCTGGTCCTACCCTCAGTAACCTTCCTAGGGGTAACCATTGAATCGGGTAGGCGGTCTGTTGATTCGATTCGGGCGGCCATAATAGCCCAGCTGCACAGGCAAGTTTGGGGTCATGGCCCCTTTCTCCCTTCCCTGCAAACTGCTGATCCAAGGAGTTCATGACTGCAATTGTAGCAAAGAGGTGTATCTTCAAAGTAAAACTTATCGGTAGAATATGCTAATGAGGTAAATAGTAATCGGGCGGGGATAATTATATTCAGTAGAGGGTTATTAATATTCATTGTATGGGCGTCCATATTACTCCATAAGGGTTTTGGGGGTGTTGTAATAAATGTAGAAATTTACGTACTAATGTAGATAAAAAGAGCATGATGTAACTAATCCAGTGCTTACTGGACGATTGGGTCCAGGGGAACAAGTACCGTAATAAGGAAGCCCATCTACTCAAATCTGCCTCTGGGTCAGCCTGTTCTTCCAACAAGAACTGTTTTAATGGTAATTATTCCTGTTTATAACTTGAAGACACTGATGCACATTGAAAACCAGATCTAAGTATTTCTTCCTTTCTCCAGTCTTAAATGCAACATTATTTCAATCAAAATTTGAAATTGAACTTCACCTTATAGTCAAGAAACCATTGTTGAATAGAAGGAAACAAGAAACCTCATAAAGCACTATACATACAAGAAAAGGCCTACATAGTCATAGAATCATAGACGTGTAGACTGGAAGAGACCTCAAGATGTCATCTGGTCCAGTCTCCTGTACTCATGGTAGGACTATATAATAACTAGACCATTCCTGACAGGTGTTTGTCTAACTTGTTCTTAAAAACCTTCCATGATGGAGATTCTTCAACCTCCCTAGTGAATTTATTCCAGTGCCTAACTATCCTGACAGTCAGGAAAAATTTCCTGAATGTCTAACCTAAACCTCCCTTGTTTCAGTTTAAGTTCCTTGCTTATTGTCGTGTCCTCGGAGGTTAACGAGAACAATTTTTCACCCTCCTCCTTGTAACAACCTTTTATGTACTTGAAAAGTGTTATGTCCCCTTTCAGTCTTTTCCACACTAACTAAACCCAGTTTTTTTCAATCTTTCCTCATAGGTCATGTTTTCTAAACCTTTAATCATTTTTGTTGCTCTCCTCTGGACTTTCTCCAATTTGTCTA